TTTTAGAATGTTATGCAATATATAGCTAAATTAATTATTTGTAATGAAAGGATCTGTGTCCCTATAGCATCGCTGAGACCTACTAGCACAAAGAACACATGCCTCATTCTCACTGGCTGTAAATGTCAGGCAATTCAGAAGGAGACAGACTCTCGAGATGGGAACAGTGAAAGAAGGGGAAGGAAAAAAGAGGAGAGAGTGAATGTGTGTGTGAGAGAGAGAGAGGGAGAGAAACAGAGAGGGAGAGATCTGCAAAGGAAGACTGCAGCAAAATGCAGCAAATTTCCAAACTCCAATCCAAAGTGTTTGTCTGCTACAGAAGGGAATACTCCACCTTACACACACGGTATTTGTACAAGCCACATGCCATGCTCAAGCTGTTCTAATCACAGCTGCGGATTTTAGAAGGTGTTAAAAATGATTTTGCATATACACTATCTTGCAAACTTAACCATGGAGCAGCTCGGAGATGTGTGCTGGTTCCGTGCGTCTCGTCTGGCTGCACAAGGCAAAGGGCGTTGCAAGGGTCCCGCTCCCTCCTGGCGCGGGCTCCGCACAGGCAGCCGTGCCGTAGTGTGACCAGAGACCCCGTCCTTGCTGTACGCTCCCCGATTACAAGCCCTTATATTTTAACAAATCCCAGCAAAGCAGCCACATCCTGCTGTCAGAGCGCTGGGGATGGGGGTGCGCAGGCAGGGGCTGAGGTGGACGATCCCTCCGGGACCCTCCACGACAACACGGGCACGGCCAGCGGCTCAGCTGCGCACCGGCCAGATGCGCAAACAAAAGGAGCTGGGTTTCTCACTCGGTGAAGTCTACCCATTACTATTTCCCAGTGCAAAGCTGTCGCCATCCCATAATGGATCATATTGTTCCCACTCCGCAGAGGAGACTTAAATGCGGAATCAGCATTACCCCACAGGAGATGTTTTATGTACAGCAGGCTGCACGAACAGGAGAGAGAGCTTCCACTCCCCGCTCCCCAGGGCTCCAGCTCCTGGGATTAAAGAGATTTGTCCACTTAAAAAAATGTCCTTTATGCATTTGTAACTCTGCCGTTCCCGCACAGAGGGTCGCGTTGAACAGCGCGAGCGGTGACGTTCCTCACCTCCGCCCCGGGCGACTGGCTGTGGCCGAGGGCACCGGGAGCCAGGGCTGCTGGTCCCCGGGGGGAGCACCCCGCACTGTCCGAAATGGTTCCCGTCCATCACAAATACAAATGTGCCTGCTGGCTCCTGTTCAGAACTAAATCATCTCCAAGGGTCCTTGATAGCTGTGCTCAGCTCTTTTCAGCTACAGAGCGATAAATCACCTCGCTACAGCGAGCGCTCTGGAAGAGGCAAGAGAAGAGTTAAAAATAACAGGGGGGCCATTATTCCATTACACCCGTACAGCTCCTAAATCTGCACAGGCAATACCGGATCCTACTGCATGATTCAGTGATTCTGGGAAAGCTGAAGTCTTGATCATATTTTCTAGGTCTTTCTTTGCGTTGGGAGGCACGGGGGTTATTTTGCTTATCCATCGTGGTGCAGCTTTGTTGTTTTTTCCTGTCGAGGTGTTTAGACGGTCTCCATCACCATAGCATCGGCGCGTTTATTTTATTGTACCTGTCACCTTGGTCTCGTCTCCGCATAATGTACTCTGGATGACAAAAGATTCCTAGTTAAATCGGTTCAGCGACACGAACAGCTTTGTCAATACCGCGCAAATGTGAACAGAAGCGGGTACCGATTCAGCTGCCTCGCAGACCAGTTCCACACTGGTGCAACGGTAGTGCCTGCAGTGACATTATTTCTGGTTTGCGTTCCTGCCTGTGGCAGAATTAGACCTGCAGTCTTCTCAGCCTTTTCCATAGCATCCCTTTTCTCAAAAAAAACCACCCAAAAACCAAACCAAACCGAAACAAAACCAATCCCAAAACCACACCAGCACAGAAGGGAGACTGGTCTGCCCAGTAAAACACATCCTACCTGTCCCTCTGCTTAACAACCCCCCCCCCCCCCCCGCTCCATTCCTGCGGCATTGAAACGCTGCGCAGCACAGTGAGAAAACAGGAGGAAAAGTCACCAGGGCAATAAAGCCCGAAGTGAAAAAACACCGGGGAAAT